CCCCAAAACCCCAAAACCCCAAAACCCCAAAACCCCGAATGGTGAAACAGCTGTTGAAGATAAGTTTTATCCATAAATGGTAGGACAGCAATAAAAATATCTTCAGTAGAAGTATGGCATGTGTCGTAAAATAATTACAATAAGTCAAGCAGAAGCTCTCTGGCTATCTTCTGCTTGTTTTACGATATTTTGGCTCCAATTAGTGCTGAGCATGCCTATTGTTCAGATGAGAGCAATTACTCTCAACCCAAAATAATTAATTAGACAATGCCGTAGTTGACTTTTAGCACCAGTCGGTGTTAATAATAATGTTGTTGATGCTAGTTAATCGATTTGTTAATCTGAAAGCCAAGTCCTAATTTTTCACCGAAATCTGTTTGGGAGGATTTTATCTATTATTTACGTTGGTCTTAAGTCCTGTCAGACACACACGCGGACTTATCTTCTTCATGCAAACAGCAATTACAGGCTGTTTGCATCGATACTTAGACTGCCTCGGAGTGTTTCTGAGTCTATTTCAGGATGAATCCCGGGTTCACCTAAAATCTTGAAAGTTCTTACCTTAGTCTGTATTAAATCTTTAAAAGTGATGCTTCTTATCGCAACAAATGTAGCCATTTAACAGAGGTGCTTCAGGTCGAGCCTTCCTGCTGACCTTATCAAGCTATTGGATGGACTGACTCTGGAGGAAATTTTGTGGCCTAATCTCATCACTTGTATCCAACATGCTTGATATAAAATTCAGGAGGTGCTTTAACCCTGAAGCTAATAACTTTTGATAGATACCAAACTCTGATTTCAGCTAAACTGAACACAATATCAATTTCGACAAGGGTCTGGGTCATTAACAATGATATAGATAAAAGAAATGAGGGCTTTAAAATAATGCTTATATTTACTAGCAGATTCCTTGTTCGAAGTTAGACTCTTTTGTCCAAACCGAGTTAGATCCCTTCTATTACTCTGATGCCCACTAGAAAGAGGAAATAAAGCAGCTTTGCATATCCGAAACATTTCAGAATGAAATATCCCCTATTAAAAGGAAGATAAAGTATTTGCTATTAGCATCAGCCATGAAGTTTGAAATTTTTAATACAAATGATTCATATATTCCTCTCAATATAATATCCACTCCTTTGGTTTCATGGAGTCAGACCTCCTAAACAAAGGTGAGTCCATTTGCTTAGACAGCTATTCATTGACAGTTTCAGCATTTCTGAATTTCTGAAGCAAGGAAAATAAATAAGGCAGTCACCATCTATTATTAATAATATCCACATTTTAAACGAGAGCTTATTAGAAACTAAGGGATGCAGAGGAATGATACAATAATCCTCTATTAACTACAGCAGTTAAATGGCTAGAGAGAATCTAGAACCAAGTTTAATGAAAAATCTATCCCCTTCCATCTTTAATCCTGGAAGTTTTAAATTAATAAACTGGTGATTCATAAACAATAGGAAGTTTGGTTTGCAGAGTCCGAGATGAAAGCAAAGAGTTAGTGGGAGACCACATCGCATAGGGAAAATCACGCTAATAAATTTGAGCGCCTTCTATTAATAAAGCGACCCTTTTGGACAATATCGGTGACCGAACCTCTTGCTGAATGCAAGAACTTGCCCATAACCCAATAAATGTTAGATCCAAATTAGTTTTACAAATTAAGATTATTCTGAGGCAGACGGAAGCATCCTGAGAGTCCTCTCTTTGAGTTTGTGCAAGTGGGTCTTCACTTTCCTCTGGAAGGACACTCTGTTGTCCGAGTAGATCAGGTTGCTTACTCCCTCAATGCTAAGGAAGTGTAGCAGAGCCTCCAAGAACTCTGGGTGGGTCCTCATCCTTTTGAACATTTTCTCAGAGTAAAAGTACATCAGCTTCTCAGTCAGATTCTTGAGGTCTCTGTCCTCGCTGGGTATGGCTCCGAGTTTACCTTTGGAGTTGATGATGCAGTCAAACACTACCAGGGCTCTGTCAGTGTTGCTTTCTGGGAACTTTGCAGCACAGTACTCTCTGAGTCTCGATGGGTAGTCAGTCTCTGGAAGAGAATGCTTGGTGGCCTCTTTGAAATCTTGGATGAAATATTTCCTCATCCTTCTTAACGCAGCCTTGTAGACAAGATCTTTCCTAGTTTTGTAGTTTTGAGAGGACCTTGCAAGTGTGAACTCTTCAACAGAATCAGCTCCATCTTTCTTTGGATTATCACATCTTGAACCCTTTGTCTTGAGATGACTCTTGTGTTTAGAATCGGAGGCAACTTTTGATTCATCATTCCGTTTGGGTTCGGAGACGGCTAATAATTGGTGTTTTTCATGTCAAGGCTCTGCAGTCTTCGAAGGCTTTACAGACTGGGATGACTTGTTGCCACTTGTCGTTCAGACACAGTAAGCACTGAGTAACTGATCAAGTGTTGGGCTTCACTCAGCACTATTCAAATTTTCAAGAAGCCATTGTTGTCCATTGCTAGGATTGATTTCTAAATAAATTATTAAGTAAAGAAGAACAAGAATTTACAAAGGATTATAATAAAAGCAAGTGAATCTTAAAATTAAATTCAGCAGCAAATTTGAAATAGTGAACACTAATCAGAGACACATCATAGTATCCATCCAAATCTAAAATTGAAGATTTATGAGGTTTCATCAATTTCACCTAATTATGTGATGCTTTTAGTATCCAAGAGGTCCAAACACGAGTCCTTCCGAAAGCAGCCAGAGACTCTCAGATGAGTAAGGAGGGCTATTGGTGAATGCCCAATTCAATCTTTGGGTTTCAGGAAGCATCTGATTAAAAATAATAATAAAAGGAAACTTCAGGATTTACACTTTTGAGACCAACTTTCTGGTTCAAAGATTTATTCACACAAAGTAATGCAGGACTGGTGAAGGCCACTAGAACTTACCTTGACTAGTCTGGAGGTATGACTTCTCATCTGGACAACAGCAGAAGTTAGTGAGAGAAGTTTTGACCCAGGCTGTTAGCCTAGGATCCACTTGCATGTGTTGGAATATATTGTTCATGATAATTTAGTTATTTATGTTAAACTTTCACCGATTATATAGCCCACGGGGTTTTGGGGTTTTGGGGTTTTGGGGTTTTGGGGTTTTGGGGTTTTGGGGTTTTGGGG